GTTGGGCGTTGGATTCTTCGATGAAAAACTTGGTGCTCTATGCATGCAGTGGTTGAATGACAAAGTTTGTGAAACTAGCACCCTTTTTTTAAAAAAAAAAATTGACATGACTTATTCTAAAAAAGTAAATGCATATCTATATTTGATTTTATAATGTTTATATGATATCCTGTATAATACCATGACTCCATGAGTAACAAAATATATTATTCTAAATTTCTAATTACCTTATTTTTGAATATGGAATGTATATAGAAAGTCTCTTGACTTGAAGTATTCTAATATTATAAAAAGAAATATGATTCACTGTGAACCTGTGACCACTCAAGTCTGTTGTAAATATCTTAGCGACGTGATGTAATATTTTTCAACAGGTTCTAGACATGGCTACGAACCCGCACTATCTGTATCGGATGACAATTGTACAAGCAATTTCCCTGCTTGGCCCTGTCATGGGTGCAGAAATTACATGTTCCAAATTGTTACCAGTAGTTGTAACTGCATCAAAGGACAGGTATCTTGCTTTACTGCTCTCTTAATTATCTAAAATATTATCTAGCGGACTGCCTTATTTTTTTTTTCAATACACAAACGGTTTGCTAATCTGAATTTTACACACTTCAGGGTACCAAACATAAAGTTTAATGTTGCAAAAGTGTTGCAGTCGTTCATTCCCATCGTTGATCAATCAGTAAGTAATTTCTTCTCTGGAAAATAATGTTGTTTGGTAATTAAAATTTCTGTTTGGCTTCTGCTTCTCACCCTATCTTCCATTCAGGGAGAAAGGGTAATGTAAGATTTTCAGTTAAAAATAGTGTGATTTGTTGTGTTAGTTGTTTGAATATACTTCCATATTCAAGGACTAAAGGGCAACAGAAGTAAAAAGTATTTGCTCTTTTGAGTATTTACGTACTAGTCTACTAGATGCGCTGTATATCATTGGACAGAAAGGTCTTTCTGATTGCAGTTTATTTATGGATTGGGTTTGCTAGGTTAAAAAGTATATCTTTTATCACTTTCACTAACATAATTAGGGTTAATGGCGTAATGCTGTGCCATATTGACGCAGTGGACGGCGCAGTTTGATTTTGGGATCTTGTTTTGCTATTCCATATTCCTATTATGCTATTCCATGTTGTATATGATCCTTCTTCCCAAGTCTGAGCAAATTCGCTGATTGACTCATCAAGTTGATGACAACTTCCTCAGCGACCTCTCCCTCAATGCAGAGGGTAAAAAGGCTCAATCATTTTAGGAATTGAAAATGCTCATGATTATATGGCAAGGTTGATAGTCATTGTTGTAAATGTAGCAGTCAGCTAGTCACATCATTTATTTGATTCCACGTTATATAAGATCTTCCTTCCCAAGTCTAAGCAACATAGCTAGTTAGCTTATCTAATTGGTGATAACTTTCTCACTGGCCTCCTATCCTTTCTGATGTAGAGGGAAATAATAATAAAGGCCCATATTTTTAGCAACCCAAAGATTTGTGCGTGCTTCCATATATTTTGAATTCATCATCCCCAAACAATCCACCAATAAGTGATGTTCCACGAGTATTTTGGAAGTCATTTGCTGCAAAGCTACTTTGAAATGCGTTGAGTTCTTACACTAACTTCCTTTTTTCAGGTGGTTGAGAAAACTATTAAGCCTTGTTTAATTGAGCTAAGTGAAGACCCAGATGTCGATGTCAGGTTTTTTGCTACACAAGCTCTGCAGTTGACAGATCAGGCTGTTATGGCTAGCTAGATTTTCTTTTTCCTTTATTCTTTTTTGGGACCCAGTTGTGTAGCTAGATCTTTGTGGTATGTTATAGGCATTCTTTACCCCATCTTTTTAATTTTAACCCTCCCCTCTGCAAAACTCAGCAGACGAAAATCTGCCTCTAGTGTTGTAATTTTGCTGGAATTCAATTCAGACTGATCAGTTTTGCTCCCATTAAATGTCAGCGAGCTTCAATGTCTATTGCCTGTGATCTTTTGTAAGGAAAAGACAACTACACGAACAGATTTTTAGAGGCCAAACTGAACTTAAGTTATCGTTGTTATATAATAATGTTTATTGCATTTTACTGCATCTCTGCTGGCTGCCATTGAACATATTATGAGCATTAACAAAATCAAATTATCGAGCAGTTGGATATTCGATCTTTGTAACTGACCTGTTGTGATTTTTATGTAGTTGAAAACTAAAGTTTATACCTTAAACTGTTTCCTGCAAGATTTTCTCTTGGTATTTTATTTTGTACACATTTAAGTACCTTTTAATGAAATAGCAGCTGTGATCTACGCAGAAAACATACTTTGATGAAACTTTTATCCAAATTACACTAAAAAAATTACTTGTAATAATTTAATCTAGTATGATTAATCACTCTTAGTTTAATACGTTGTCATAATCTAATATACAATGGTACGAATTGAGGCATACTATTAAATGTGAGGATTTTTTAAAGGAAAATTTTGAAAGTATTTTGATGAACATACAAATTTTAGAACAAATGATTCAATAACTTTATTCTTTATCCTTACCTTTTATAAATCTAGGATAACTTTTATGAATAGTAGTTGGATATTTTACCCTCTTAAATTATTTACTTTTTTTTACCTTTATTAATATTAATTATCAGGTTTAGAAAAATAATGTTAATTATCTCTTTGGTCAAGCTCTTAAAAATTGTGTGCAGACAAGTGCTTGGAATCCCATCCTAGTTTGTCTGAGAAGTGTTTAAAATCCTACTGAAGAAAGGACACTAGGATTCTTCTACACCTCACAATATCTCAGTAATTTCAGGATTCTTCTACACCTCACAATATCTCAGTAATTTCATAAAAAGAACTGATAATCCCCCTTTTATAGTTCATGTTGGAAATACTACAATTGTAGCACCATACGAGGAATATTTAGTACATATAATAAACAATACTAAGTCAATTTACAAATATTTTGAAGACATTGAAAGTGGAAAGTTTTTATCGTTTGAAGACCATGAACATCTGTTTGAAGGCCATGAACATCTGTTTGAAGCTTTCATGATATGGGACGAATCATATGCTGTCAAATGTGCTATAAATCTTGGCATAGAAGAGGAATCCTACGCGTGTCCACTATGATGACAATAAAGATAGCGAGGGTGGTCTACAAGACATGATGATGGATGAAATAATGTATTCCTGAGCCCACAACAACAATTGATTAGGGGATTTTTATCCACCAATCACCGTCTGACAAGTGGACCAACCAGGTTCCGCCACGTGTCCTTCACGAAGGCCAATAGGAGCCTGCCACGTGTCAATCACAGATACGTCCTCTACGGACCAATCGAGGCACGCCACGTGTCCACCCATGCTAAATGGGAAAACCGGCCATCAAGGCCCAATCCTGTCTAGAGGCCCGGTCAGCTCTAGGTTTACCCTAAACCTAGAGAGTGGCACGCTTCTCAAGGCTATAAATACTTAATTAATCCTCATTAATTAAGCAGGGAAGCAGTCAAGAGATCAAGAAATCAAGAGAAGAACAGAAACATTACGGAACACTAATAACCGGCTAATCTCGCTAACGACGCAGATTACCAACATTAAACACTCTCACCTAGAGAGATCTTATTACTTTAATTTCCGTATTAATTACTCCTTAATCAGGTACTAACTTGACCGTTGGAGGCGGAGCTCTCAGGAGTCTCCGTTATTTTGCAGGTACAGGCGTCCGGTTCCAGTCTCGGAATTGTAACTCTCCCGCAGGACATCAGAAAACCCCGAAACAACAATCATGTAGTCTAGTTTCACTATAGCCACGTTTTATTAATTGTTATCGTTTTAAAGTGTCTTTAGGACTTTAGAAAAGCAGTGAACACAATCACTTGTTGAGTCATGACTTGTTGTAAGCCATAGAAAGTGTATAAAGGGTATGAAGGGAAGAGTGAAAGGCAGAGTGTCAGAGTTGAAGGAGTTAGCTAGAGCATTTTATAAAAACATTAGATAATTCTCTAGAGAAAATCCTCACCTTAAGAAATAGATTGACTCTCCGTTTCTAGTTTAGTTCATGTCTGATTAAGCTTTCAGTCATTGCGTTGTAAAATATGAGTGTTGTAATCTTCCTAAATTGTAAAGTTTCCATCAAGAAGGGAATGTTTTCCGCTTGAACCTTATATATCAAATGAGTTATCTTTCTGTTTAGAATTTCCATCATAAACACAATAAAAATTGTTTGGTTAAAGACTACGGTCTAAGGTAGGAAACGAATTAGATCTGTGCTGTGACTTATCTATGGAAGACAAGGTTGGGGCCAGCTACCTTGGTAAAGCCGGAAGCTTAGTACACCTGAGGTTCAACTCTTTATAGTACTATTGACACTTTATAGTACTATTGACACTTTATATTGACACTTTATTGTCTACTAGTTCAACTCTTTAATTAAATAATTGTTATTGCGAAGCAGGATGGACTATTACACTGAAAAGTTAATTTATTTCGGTATATAAGTAGCAGAGTTGTGATAACTATTCCCGTTAAAAGATATTAGTCGAAAAATAAGTGATTATTAACCTTAATTATAATCTTTATTTTTAGTATTTTCTTTTGTAATGCAAATAATATCATCATTGGTACATATAAAGTGTCAATAGTACTATAAAGAGTCCCACTAGTACTATAGAAAGGTTAACCTATCGCATGCACATAGACATACGACTCAAAATAATATAAGACATTGTATAGCGTGGATTTAAAAATCCATATTTCATTGGACTTCTGGTCCATGATAAATTTTTAATCATTATCATTATGTCGACATCAAAATGGACATGAATTTCAAATCCCTTATTCCCTAATCCATTCTATCATGCATTTCAGTGATATAAAAAAAAATGCGGGCCAATTGTGCTTGTCATGTATTTCATATTAGTATGGTTAGCGCCTTAGTAGAGATATATTTTTTTTTTGAGGAATAGTAGAGATATATTTAATTGTTAGTAGAAGAGTAATAATTAAAAAGTTATGTAAATGGAGTTGGAAAGAGAGAGAAATAATAAAATATTAGAGGACCCTTATCAAATAAGAAATTGTTGCGATTATAATGAAACGGACGTAGAAAACGAAACTAAGGGACTACATAACTAACCTTCCTTTGGAATCCCTCGTAAAATTGACGTCTTCTATTTCTGTAGTATTTCTTCACAAAACATACCGCGCTGTGCAAACGAACTAACCCAGATTCAAGTAAAATATTCGCAAAACATACTGCACGACTGAGTCATTATCATTCCACCAAATCAAAACAACTTCAATCCTCCATTAAACAAACAAAGAAAATTCAACTCACTCATTCAAATTTAATCAAACACCATGTTCAAAAATTCCATTTCCATAATCATTTGGTGGGAATCTAAACAACCCCATCAAATTTTTTTCATCTCTCTTTTCGTGGGGTTCAAGAGAGGGAAGAAATTATGGCACCCCTTTTTGAGTATTTTGTAGTTTGTGGAATTGGCCCAGAAATTCGTACTTTAGATGGAAGTAATGGTTATTATGGCATGAATTATGTGTATGAACCTTCTCTTATTGATCAGTACCCTCGTTCTGATCACTCTCTTTATGCTCCTTTACCTCCTGAGCTTCCTATGGTCAGTTGACTCACTTCATTTTTACATTTTTTTTTGGGATTTTTGATTGGTATTGTTGTTGTGATTTGAGAATTTGATTGGGTTTTGTTGTTGCATGAATTGGTATTGTTGTTGTGATTTGAGAATTTGATGGGGTTTTGTTGTTGCATGAATTGGTGTTTTTATTTTATTTTATTTTTTTGCTGATTTTTCATCAATTTGATGGAATGTTGATTGATTGGAGTATTGGGATTATTGCATAAAGACGGAGTGGATACATTTACAAGCTTGAATTGTAGAAAAGGGATTATATTGAAGTGGTTGATTGATTGGTGAAGTATTACTTGATTTGCTCTGATTTCCTTTTGTTTTATAAATAAGTTCCAAAATTTCTGTGACGCAAACGTAGTGTTAGGGTCTGATGTTGAAACTAGGAGATACTTTAGTTTGATATTGACGTAATGTTAGTGTTCTGTCACAAATGATGTGAGGTTTTCTGTAGTTATAGGTGGTAATGAACTTATAATCAGCAGCCAATTCTTGAATGCTATATACTATGATCATACTCTATACAAAGGAGAATAATGAGTTAATGGAAATTGATTCTTCTTTTGGTGCTACAATTGCAGTGTGTTATGCCGGCAGGGGTTGAGTTCTATAAATCAGGCTTGGATGCTAATGATCCCCCTAGTTATCCTCGGAGCTATCCCATTGTTTTGACTGGTAAAGTTGTTTAAATTTTTGGTAGCAACAGATTTTATTGCTGTTTTGATGTGCTTTATTTTGAAATTATCTGAGTTTCCCTAGAGCCCTATATTGGTTTTTTTTTTTTTTGGGGGGGGGGGGGTGAGGAAGTATAGGGTACATTTTGCTTCAACATTTGGAAGACAATTGAAATTAAAAAAAAAAAGAGATAAATCATGTCCACAATACTTTGCAGAGTTCATTTTATTAAATATATGTATAAAGAACACCATAAAAAACTCTAAATTAGGGTTTGAGTTTCATAAAATGCAGCTAGGAATAAAAAGAACATTATCTCTTTTGAGTACTTCTCAACAGTTGGTACTAAACCATGGGGAAAGGACCATGACCTTCAACTAAGGTGATATTACCATTTCCAATAAGGTGCTTATTAAATAAAATGAATCTAGAAAACTTTCTTTGGTAGTGTTGATTTGTTGAACTCTTGAGTTTCATCTGTAATTTTATTATATCTTATCATTATCAAATCAAAGCTTCTCAACCCAGGAAACAAGTTCCTTTCAATACTATATCTTCATGATTAAGAAGCTTTAATATGATAATAGTAAGATATCATACTGTAAATTTGCAACTTGATTTACAGATGTTAATACTTTTGACATATAATCTGAGTTTGAAGCATCAGTTCTGCAAATGTCTGCTTGTTTTTGTCTCATTTCTCAAACATGCCCACTTGACTGTGTCTCTAAAGAATTGAGTTTTAGTGTGGAAATGTCTTATATACTGTATGTGAATTGTTCCTGATGCTTCATTATTTTCTGTTTCTGATCGTTCTCAATGGTAGAAACCTTGAAGTGATTCAATGATAGTTTCATTCAATTTATTGCTCTACTGCTATTACCATAGCTGTCTGATTGGATATTATTGACTCTGGATTCCATCTTGAATTTGAGCTGTAAATGAAACTATGAAAGGCAACAGAAGCATCATTTGTGGTGATGCCTAAACACTTTTTTTTTTCACCTCCCCCAAAGTATCATATTATCATTTGATATTTTAACATCTTGAATATTATTCTATTTAATTCTTTGAAACTGGTTATATGTTTAGAGAAAAAGTAGAATATGTCACATAGTGAATAGAGTATGTAAGATATGCAGTAGATCAAGGCAAGGGTTGTATTATTGTGGTGCTCTTTAGATCTGATTGTTGCACAGTTCATTTGAGAATCTTGTTCTAGTTGTATTGTTAGTAATTTGGATATTCCTTACATATTTGAATGATTTATATGTGTTTGATAAGACATCAAGCTAATACGTGCCTCGGCTCTGTATTTTGTATTGGCTTATGCAGGCTTATATTCCTGAAGTTCTTTGCTAGGATTTTATTGGGATACCGCAATTTCATTGTATGATTTGTTCTTCCAACCATGTTTGTCTATCTTTCTCTTTCTACACAGTTCTACTGTTTAATATGTCTCATGAGTGTCTGAATCTAGAATGTTATGAGTAGCTCTCAGGACCACTGTTTTAAACTGCAGAGATTGCTCTTGTTCTGTCTCAGGTAAATAGCACGGAATGTACCTTTGATGCTCAAGCATTTACAATGCATTGGTGTCGTTCAAATAATCAAGAGCCAGATCCTATGGTTTGTTGTTTTGCTTTGGAATCCCTTTTTTTTATTCTTATTTATTTGGCTATTACAAATCTTTAATTAAAGTTGTTATCAAAGTCCTTTTATTTTTTCCTTTTCTTAAGAGTTATTCCACTGCCAAACATTCCATCTTTGTCATTTGGTTCTTCTGATTGCAGATATATACTTGTATATCTTTTGTGGCATTATTTTCTCCAACATGGGGGTAGTTCAATACTTGTGTAAGTTGCGGTATTATTAAGACCGTCTTGTACATACTGTAAAATGGTAGAAACTGCATAAGTGCCTGTAATGTGTTATTTCATTGCATCTTCCTGGATTCTTGTCCTATGAGAAATTGAAGCTTAAAGACAGATTAAAACTTGTGCTTTGATGCCTGTATAGATATAGTATACCTTACAACTTTATCTATTAAAGGCAGACATAACTACATAAGTTTATTAGAATATATAAGCACTTGTTCGTACTTGGAGACTGAGAGGCTAGGAGGGGCAGGTTGACCATAAAATCAGCTCTTCAGAGTTCTTTTTTTTTTTTTGGTAAGCCGTGTTTCATCTACTGATATACCTAAGCACCCATCTATAAGGGTTACTCACAGCAAGCAAACATGGTAACAGGTGTTTTATAGAGGTAGAAATAGCTATAGAGAGGTAAAGTGGATCTAAGAAATGTAATAAATAGGGTAAGATGAGAATGAGGAAAGCATTTTTGAAAGTTGTGATTGTGCTTGGTAAGGAAAATAGTCAGCCGGTCAAATGATGATAGATATTTCCCTGTTTTCTTAACATCAGTATTAGTTTTTTTTCCTTTATTGTGTGCATGTTGAGAGAGAGAGAGAGAGAGAGAGAGAGAGAGAGAGAGAGAGAGAGAGGGGGGGGGGGGGGAGTTGTTATGGGGAGTAGGGTCAATCATCTATTTTATTCTCCATTGTGAACTTTGAGCTTTTCTATTACATATTGCATAGTGTAGATGAGATCAGTGTAAGATGCTGGGTTGAAGAGCATTTTTATAGCTTATGCAAGAGTTGTTTTCCCATCTTGTTCTGACTATTCTACACTTCTTTGGTCTTCCTTTGTTCAATTGGAGCCTCACTTTTTCATTAAAAAAATATATAGTAGACTACTAATCTAGATTTTAGATGTAAGAATAGTGAGGAGAGTGATTGCTAATGTTGAAGATGAGTTTTGTTTGATAATAGCTTAGATCTTTGAAAGTGAAATTAAGGGTGTGGAATAAGGAAGCTTTTTCTGCATGGACTTGACGATTTCATGAACTTTAGATGTTAAATATGACCCATAAAAACAAGTTACCTCACTTATTCCCTTACTTCGATGCAACATAGTGTTTGAATAATACTAAGTTAGATTGTTAGCCAACTAAGTTTTGATTCTCCCCCTACCCTCTCAAATTGTTTGCTTATCACTTAGTATTTCTTACTGACTCTACCTTCCCCTGTAAATTGTTTTAACGCTTCAATGTAACGTTTTGATGTTCATTAAACTATAGTGGTATGTAATACTCTACTGAATGAGGTCTGCATTGCACATCTGCACTACGAATTCTTCCTGACAATACTAAAAATTAAGACATAAGATTGACTAAAGGAAACTTTTGTTAGTTTATTTATCTGTAGAATTCCAGAGCTGTCACAACTATGTATTCTGATATTGAAAATTGCTGTTTATAACAGGTAGCTGAATTTCTACTCTCTCAAGGGTTTTCTAACCACATAGAAAAAGTTTTGTCATCTGGTGAAAGCAATGACAACGTCCTTGATAAGTTGATAGATGCAATTGGGAGAGGTGAAAGTCTTATGTCTCTCTATCCATCATCTCATTCAGACTTAATTATTATAACCATACCAGATCCTATAGACGGAGTTATAGGTACTTTATCCAATCTAATTCGTAAATGAATGACTTAGCCAGTAAACTACTGCTCATAAGTTGAAGGTTTAATGTACATTTCTTATTGTGTAGGTGGTGCTAAATACACATATTCTAAATTTCCTGCTAACATTAGAGGAGAAGGGGAAGACGAAAAGAGGAAGCAGATCCTAAAAGACATTAAAGACAAAGATGTAAGATCCATGATTAAAAGGGTTTACTTGCACATAACGTTGCAACATTTGAGCATTTTTTCATTGGTTGCTTTTACTATAAAACCCAAAATTTATCTTGTTTACAATGAGCCTCCCTTAGTTTTCGACTTTACCTTTGATGAATAACTAAAATACTGTTAGCCAGTTTATACGAAGTCATATGTAGTTTTTTTTCTTACAACTTTGGGATCTGGTTATTTCTTATTTTTCAATTTAAATAACTTATCTAAAGCTGCACATTGTAAAGGATACATCAAAAGAAGTTGTTTACGCCTAAACAAATGCAGTTTTAAAGTGTTCATATTAGTTACTATATAATTGCAATAATTGGTTTTTATAAAATTTGGTCACAGGATGAGGAGAAAGGATTGATCTTGGACATAAAAGTAAAGCTGCAGGTAATTTAAAAAACTTTTTGGTCAAGCCAAACTCACCAGGGACCTGTTCGAATTTTCCCATGTAGCTTTTGTTGCATGAATATTCTCTTTGACTCATAAATCATAATATCGACAGTTTATGTGCATTTATTTCTATCCAGCTGTGATGATTATATGCGGAATTAAGCAACTGATTGCAGGGAGGAAAGTTACAGTAGTTGCTGTTGGGGATTTTAAGTAAAAATAAGCTTTAAGGTTTACAAAAGACACTTTCCCTGGCCATATTGTGAAACATGACATAATTGTTTAGTAATATCTAGCCCTTAATAGTAAATATATTGCACAATTATTGTTTAGCCTGTCTAGATCACTTATGATTACATATGATCAATTTTGATTACCCTTAACTAGATTATATTTAAATTAATTTAAAGAAGTGCATATAAATGAATGGGAAAATAAGTACATCCTCAAGTCCATACTCCCTCCATTTTTCTTATAATGCATCACTTGGTGATGCACGGAGTTTTAGGAGTAATATAATGTTGTGAGTGAGTGAATAATTTATTATAGTAAAAGTAAGGTAGGGACCATGAAAGAGAAAGTATGTGAGAGAGAGTAGATATGTTTATTATTTTAGTTAATGTGACTAAATTGTATAAAACCTGAAAAACGTTCCTCTATGCCTACTGAATAAATCTCTTTAGTTTTACCATAATGTCATGGTCAAATAATGAAAATGTTTTCTGTGATGTTAATGTCAGTACTTTCTGATCTAATGTGCAAGAGACTATATACTTCCTCCGTTTTTTAATACTTGCAACACTTTCTTAAAGTGGAAATGTCACAATACTTGCAACACACTGTAACTGGATTTTTTTTTTTGGTGGAATAATTTACCCTTTTTAAAGCTCATGGCCCACGTAATTATACTCCTAACAATCTCTCAACCCATATTAAGTGTTTTATATTTTGTGAGACCCACTTTTTTAAATACCGTGAAAAAGTGTGTGTTGCAAGTATATAGTGTTCCTTTATTCTGTTGTTCCCTAACCCTTGAATCCTGGCTCTATAGGCTAAATTATCCTGGGTTAAAAGGTTGTTGTGATTCAGGTTGTAACTATGTTGTGGTTGTGTTAATTAGGGATTGTGGATTTCTCTTCTGGATCTTGGAGATGCAGATGTCATTCTTTCATCTGATGAATATGAGACAATTCTTGGTATGTTTCCTCTCAACAAGTCAACAGTATCGGGTAAGACTTTTGAAGCCAGAACTGATTGGTTATGGTTTGCCATATTTGCAGCTTTACTTGAGACGGATGCCAAAGGAATTGTTGGTAGAACCTTGATTGAATGTATAAGAGATCACATGAGTGCTGTAAGCATTTATGCAGAATATTTTCCTGGATTATAGTCCAGATAATGTACTCATACTTTGTTTTTATGTTGTCAAGGGATGGAATGGTCAGTTGTCCGAAGAACAGTTTGTTGCTGTGAAAGAAATGGTAATGTTTTTTGTCTAAATTTTTACATACGATTGGTGAGCTAAAATTGTAGATTTCAAGTCATTGCTCATCTTTCCATCTATCCCTCATTACACTCGTGTCAAGATTGTTTGTTTGTATTTGTGTGAGAGAGGTGCTTTTACATAAAATATAAGAGAGACTAGATAGTTATTGAAAATCTTGCTCAATTATGGCTTGCAACCGATTCTACCCTGTTTCTCTTTCTTTTGTATATATTTTTGCTCAAGGTGGCTATTTACTTTGTGAGTTTTAAATTTCAGGTTAAAGAACTTATTACATGTGCAACCTACCAAAACGACATGCCAACTTTGAGAGAGGCGCTTGAAGTTTCAGCGGAGATGTATAGGAAGGATTTCAATAACGTTTCAGACTACGTCCAACGTCATCTCATTTCTTTATCCATCTGGGAGGATACAGGGTATGTAATTTTTCCCTGATAAGTTTACTAATAAGTTTACTAATACTGTTGATGTCAAATTAGTTTCAGGCTAGGGTGGCAGATTGTATATTGTAGTCAAGTGCATAGTTGATACTTCTGTTGTTCTTTGAACATTGTAATGCCTCATTTTATGGGATTTTCAAATTTATTGCAACGTTTCCTTGTTTGCACATGATTTCCCTCTGCTCTCCTCATAACATGGTGCCTTTCATTTAATATCTCTCTCACTACTTACCACATGGGCTCCTAAATATCATGCGTCCCTTACATATTGCAACACATAGAGATCTTTTGCCAACACTTACTCTTCGGCCATTTGATTTGTCTATCTTAATGTCCTAATTAATCTGTCTAGACATGAACACTTCAAATTTAATTTGGCTCCAGTTAATTTTAAGCTTTAATTAAATCAGTCATCTATGTGTTTACTTTTTTTTTCTTTCTTTTTATCGTCATTTATTTTATTTTATTTTGTTTTTCAATTTTTTTATTGTTGTGTGTAAACTAGGTTCCAATACACACTAACATAAGTAACATATACAACGATTGGTAAATTAATTTGATAAACATGTACTTACGGAGAATCAAGTTTTGAGCTTTTTTGGAGAAAAGATAATCTTTTGTAGCTTTATTATGATTGAATTATTTTAAATAAATACTCCCTCCATCCAAGACTTGTTCACACAATTTTCTTTTTTGTCTGCCCCTTTATATTGAACACTTTATTTGGGAAATACCTCACTATTATTTTTATTGCATCTCTCTATCCACTATATTCTATATCTACTTTTTCAATAAATAATACCCCTCTATCTCCAATCGCATTCACTTTCCTATTAAATAACAATTGATAATGTCTCAACTTATCACCTAAACTCTATGCCCAAATAAGTGTTCCAACTATTTTGAATGGAGGAAGTAATAGTTTAAGTAGGAAGCTGAGAAAATAGGAAATTTTTTAAGGAATTTGTTGCATTAAGAAACGTTCAATTAAAAAATTTCTGAGATTTATTTAACATCAGGAGAATTTTGAACACAGATTGGATTCATCATTTTAGTAGAATTCTGAGTTTTGTGACAGTAATCTTGTAAGAGTGGCAGTTTCTTGTGTCATATCATTTTTTTCTCCTATATTTTTTCCAAAGTTGGGAGAAAGACTTGTATGGTTGGCATATGCATTTCTGTATTTATCTGAGCGTGTCCTAATTATACATGTAGGCATGTAGTTGGAAGCTGCAATGTAATAAATGTTGGTTTAAGTTTAAACAGTTAAAATTTGACACTTTTGAAATGACATGGGCTGGAGATATTTACAGAGAGCTTAAGAAAGATGATGAGACCCTAATTTTTATTAAAGGGTATGATTGTTTTTGAATAATCACTTTTTTTTTTTTAAAATCCTGGTAGTCCCCAATACCCTATCTTTTTTCAAATTCTTAGATTTGTGCTTATTAGATAGATATAGACTGATATGAGGGACACCTAAGTTAACTAATTATGGTGTTTTCCTTTGACCACGAGGTTATTTGAAATAAATATGTAATCCAAGGGAGATTTCACCTCAATTAGTGCCTCCTAAACAGATCTAAATTTTATCTATAGTTATCTTACGCTTTTCCTGATGAGATGTAATATGGGGGATGGGTCATTTCTGATAATCATTTTGATGTACTCATGCCTCCTCGTCCTTTTTGTGTAATTGTGTGATCATTTTGCAGGTTTTGGGAAGCATTCTTTGAAAGTCTGATGGAGCAATCTTTAAGCAAGTAAGTTCTCCATCTCTTCATGATCTTTTTGTGATTGTTTTCTTTGGAAGTAGACCTTCCTTTGATCTCTTTATCATCTCTAGTAAATAATTTTATTTTATCATCTGCTTACGGTTGCAGCTAATATGTTGAGTTCAAGCAAACTGAATTTGTAGCTGCCCTTTTTGCTCTTTACAGTAATAAACTAACATTTCAGAATCCAAAACTGAATGTGCTATATTTTTTTTGGCAACTTATAATCCATTAACATTTCAAAATTAACTTATATGCTCCAACATGTCTCTCTGGAATTCTTTCATGGTATTAACCTGCCTGATAATGTGGCATTACAACAAAAATATTCATTTAGTGAGGCCTTCAAGGCTGAAATATATAGCTGGAACTGTCAAATAGGTTCATTTCGGTTGGATAAATTTAATTTTATGTTGGGTTTGAATTTGGGTTGATTTTGGGTCAACTCCACTTAGTTGTTTTAGTTAGTTATTTGGGATTCTGGCAGCCAAAAGTTTGCTCAAGACCGTGGTAATTGGTTATAGATCTCGAATTATGGATTATAGTCAAGCCGATATTGTTGTTATTCTTATACAAATTTATACTTTAGATTTTGTAATTTACAAATAAGTTAGCCATAAAATATAATGATAAATAAAATACTTAGATATGTTGAATCAAAAGAAAAATATATTTAGACCTATATATTAATTATATTAATTTGTATTTATATCCAACTTGCATGTGAAAAATATTAACAATCACAATTTTTATTATATTCTTATTTGTTTAAATTCATATGAGACCAAAATCAAATCAAAAAATAAGTTTAGATAAAATTAGATCAGAAAAAATAAGTTCAAGTCAAAGCATTAGATTGAAATTATTTCAACCACCGCCCCGCACGAGAGACATGTGTACTCAATTGGTTGTAGTCTTTAAAACATGAAATAGATCTTTCTTTAACTTTTTATAACTCCTAAAGAGAATTCTGATGGCATGGATCTCCAATTAGATGAAGCTGATGCCATGTGACCGATGTAGAGAATGAAATATTCGTTTTCCTTCTGGTTTATATCCTGCCTTTAAAATTAACTAATTCCACAATGTTTATGGTTCAGGTCTTCCAGTAATGAGAGCGTCATTATGTCACAACTGATCTTGATAGCATCACATATGGTACTTGTAAACATTTTGTTTTCACTTGGTAATGCGTACTGTATTATTAACTGACCAGATATGTAATTTTTTCTGTTTATATTCAATTGGAAGGGTGGCTTGGGTATGGCTGATATAGATGCGTGGCCAATTATACAAAGTATAGCGCAGAAAAATGTCGGTTATGACCATTATGTGAGTGCTTTCAGTTTCTGTAATGTCTTCTCACACCATAGCCATTTAATTCCATTTGCATGTATTAGCCAGTCATCTGTTCATTCCTAGGAACGGTAAAATAACGCTTCAAGTAGCATTGGGAAAAGTGCTATGATCATCAAGTATTCTGATTGTTTGGAAGGAGTATATATCCATTATTCTCTTGCAGTCGTTTTGACAAGACTACCTGCATAAAATCTCACTATTCTACTTTTAAAAAGAAACTTTGATCCCTTAGTCTGTTTGCCTATTCATACATCAAAGTATCAAACCCATCATTATCTTTTTCTTCCAGTGTATTTCTAGCTTTCAAGTTTTAACCATAAGTTCCAGATATTTGTTTTTTCTGTAGGTTATTCCCATCAAGCATTTTTCAGAAGCTTATGCATAATCTTGATAATCAATTAATCATCCGATATGAGCTAAATGTTTTAAATTGTTTCAGATACAACTTAGAGGGTACCTTTCATATATTCATCAACTACAAATGGTTTACTGGGGTATATCGGATTTAAAGGCTCAATCATTGTCTTCTTCGGGTTTGCAATCCCCTCATTTTCGAGATGCTACAGTAGACAATCAACCTTCCAAGGCATCTACTATCGCAAAAAATTGGGTCAGGAGCATGTTTGGGAGGGAATCAGTGCTAAAAGTAAACTCTTTCAGCCATGCTCGTGGCTGGACATTTGAAACTGAAACAGCAGGTATTGCCACACTCATTCCTCAAGTGTTGTTTATTACTGTATTTATTAATCAAGACATTAATGTTTTTTGTGACAATCCTACTTCGTTCTATGCCAGCTGTAACTGAGATTGGTACACCCCGCAAACAAAATTTTCCAAACTCGGGACTAAGGAGAAGTCAAACAAATGTGCGAGTTCTTAAAGGCCATCATAAAGCGATTACTGCTTTACATTGTGTCACAAGAAGAGAGGTTTGGGATCTGACTGGTGATCGTGAAGATACAGGCTTCTTTATAAGTGGAAGTACTGACTGCTCAGTAAGTTAATTAATTGTTACATTTTGTTTTGGAAAAACTCCCTTTTAACTGATATTCTCTCATGGTTCTTGCTAAAGTAACATTCATATTAGAGCCAATCTCTAGATTTGTTCCAGATATAGTATTGAGATGATTTACTTTTTACTACAAGTTGCCTTTTTGGGACATGCATCAACTCCCAATATTGTATTTTTTTTTATATTTAGTGACTGTATTTACAAGACTTTCTCCTCCACATCACCCTCCGAAGATGGAGATTGGAGAGAGGAAAAAAATAATATAAGTGCCTTGTGCCAATAAAATTGACAAAAGCATTTTCTGGCATTTATTGATTATTGTGTTAATCTTCAAACCATATTACTTAACTAATTGAAAAATATTCAATTATTAGAAACAGAAAATTTATGGAGAAAATTAATCACAAGGTTAAAAATGATAACCATATGAACGGTAATAAAACTGATCAAGATTAATCCAAATTCCATAGAGTACATAGTGAATAATTAACTTTTTACATTGCTCATCTTTCACAATCTTCTTCAATGTCCAGGTTAAGATATGGGATCCTAGTCATCATGGTTCTGAACTTCGCGCAACGTTGAGAGGTCATACAGGGTAATCAACTGACTCCTCTATCTATCTTTTGTTTTCTTCATGCTAGTTGCTTCACAGTGTGAAAAGTAATTTATTTTTCCTTGAAGATCTTATTTCCTCCAAAAGTTGTGTTCCTTTGTAGTTATACTTGTCTTCCTTGGTCATGGCCAAATTTGTTGTCTATATTTCTTTCTGTTTAACAGCATGCTCTCTTTCCAGTGCTGTCCGTGCAATAAGTTCCGATCGAGAAAAGGTGGTATCAGGGTCTGATGATCTGTCTATTGTGATCTGGGATAAACATGAATTTATCCCTCTTGAAGAGCTTAAGGGGCATGAGGCACAGATTAGTAGTGTGCGCATGCTCTCAGGAGACCGTGTCCTTAGTTCTGCCCATGACGGAACTGTCACAATGTGGGATGCCAGAAATGGTAGTTGCATAGCTACAGTTGCCCGTTGCCCAGGTTCTGTTCTTTGCATGGAATATAATGATGCTACTGGAATCTTGGCTGCTGCTGGTAGAGATAAAACTGTGCACATATGGGACATCCGTGCTGGTAAGCAAGTCCACAAACTATCTGGCCACTTGAAATGGATCCGTAGCATCAGGATGGTGGGAGACTCTGTGATTACTGGAAGTGATGACTGGACTGCTAGAATTTGGTCAATTTCAAGAGGTTCTTGCGATGCAATTTTGGCAAGTCATGGGGGGCCAGTTCTGTGCGTTGAGTATTCAGCTTTGGATGGAGGAATTATAACAGGATCTGATGATGGCTCAGTTAGATTCTGGGAAAATTCTGCGTACAACATCGAATGTACTAAAAATATAAATCTTCATAGTTCTATATTGTCTATTAATGCTCAAGAGCAATGGTTGGGGATTGGGGCTGCAGATAATTCTATGCTGCTGTATCATCAGTCTCAGGATAGATCAGGTGGGTGGCAGCTGTACAGGACTCCACATTTTTCAGCTTCCGTGGTTAGATGTGTTGCTTCAGACCTTGACCGGAAGACAATCTGTAGTGGAGGTCGTGATGGTCGACTCAGGCTATGGGATGCTACCATCAATATCTAACAGTACACTGATTTTTGAATTTTGCTAGTTCGGCTACATTTGTGGTTTTGGTGGAAGTAAAAATCAGTTTTCAGAGGAAAACTAGCGATTGCAAGAAAGGTTTTTATGGTTTGGCGACTAACACTCCCTCCCTAAAACCTATGCGTGAAGAACATGATGATCTTGTAACTCTTACAAAGGATTGTACGCTTTGTTTTCGGGTATGGGAGTTAGCGAGTTACATTAACGTCCCATCATTTGGTATTGTTGAAAATCTATGCAGTGTTAGTTGCGCAGAGCCAAAGTGAATACTATGCAAACTTATCCTTTCATCTTCTTGTGATGAACTGGTTTCGATTGTCCGTACTACACGACCTGCTGTTAAGTTTAAAAATTGAAGATTTGCTTATTACACACTTGTATATTTGAGACATGATAAAACTTATGTAATTATTCATATTCAAAAAGTAATTTATGTATATGATCAAAATTCAATCGTCTTTAAAATGGCTACCAAGATGGCTATCACTATGTTCAATTTTGATTGGTTTATTTATTCTTTGTTGGTCATACTTAATTAAAAATGTTTTTTTACAAAAATCTTTTTTTAATTTAGAAGATCTTTATTTATTTCATAATTAATTTATGTTTTCAGTATTTATTATTATTGAAATTAAAATTAAAATATGCTCTTCATTGTTTTCATTCAACTCAAACTCAATAAGCAATCTCTATGATGGTGGATCCTTCATCCAACTGTCGACATCAATCAAGCCGCCTACAGCTTCGAGCCCCAGCCTTCATACAAGTTAACCACCGTCAATTAATCGAGTTTGAGATTAATTATTCCGCTTTCCAAACAATGTCGTCTAGGTTTGATCAAACTAAACCAGTAGTTTTCAATAAATGGCAGCATCCGACCACCCTTTTTTGCTATGATTCTGCTCCTTCACTTGCCCATTATGGTTCTTGTAGATAAATGGTTACTTCCTATTGTTTATCAAAGGAAAAATTGACACTAGCAGTCCCAACTACAAACAGCCTTCTTTAATAGGTATTAACTATTGAATAACTCAGGGCGGCTCTAACTTTAGGGGGATCCTTCTCATAACAAACCCTAACATATTTTTAACCAATTTGACCGGTTAATAGTGTCATGTGACTTGTTTTCTTTAGGCTTAGTTAAAAATAAATTAATCATCTATCATTCTAAACACCCACTTACACCATCTTTATGTTACTTTTAATAAAAAAAAAAAAAAAAAAAAGAAAAAAAAAAGAAACCACTACAATTCAAAAAGTGACACTTTTAATTGTTGGGAAATTCTCATTGATAGCCATAAAGAATTGCACATTCTCTATGGTAACAATTTTTTTTTCAAAATCTCTAAAATCTAATTGTTCTTTAATCTAACATTATTTTACTAAAACTGACTAAATTAACCTAAAATGACTAACCAGGTTTAAATAAATTCCCTCCAAAATATTTCCCCAATTTTTTCGATTGCTCATCTTCTTCTTGTAATACCTTGGAGATTTCCTTCCTTTAAAATACTCATTTTACTATAAATAAAACCCTTTTTAGGAAATACCAAATATTACCGCCATCGTGATAAAGGAGGCAAGTTTTCAAAGTCTCACAGCTGAAGTTTAAAACAAAAACCAACTTTTAAAAATAAAACTTGAGTTCACAACCTCAAAACTAATGTAAAATAAAACATTCACAAGTTGGAACCAATTCAACATGGCCCTTCTTAAAAACCAATTAAAAACAAACAGAATAATGTTAGTCCATAAGCAAATCAATAATTCAAAAACATTAAAATTAAGAAACATAATAAGTAACTTTCTGCACTCTATCCCATCATGCTATTCATGCTTCAAGTACCTGTTACTTCCTCTTTATTCAACCCTCTTCTCACCATATAATTGGGTCATAGTAGGGTCAATCCAAAGGAAAGCCAAACATAAACACAAAAGTACGAATCATCAAAGCTGAGTACATATGCACCACACTAATATGAATATCCTAGCATAAAAATAAAAATAATAATTTAAAACATGCTCGCCACACAATCACAAGTCAACTTACCTTTGACTCATCACTAGCAATATTAATTATTAATAATAATTTTAGATTACGCATCGAACGGGTTTCCTTCCTTGAAAATAGCCTATTTAAATATTGAGCTTCCAATCAGGGAGCTACCCCAATTGGAACCTACTATGTCACACTTGGTGACGCAATTCCAGCACATTAATAAATAAAAGAAAGTACAACGTCTTGTACCCCTGTAGAAGCTATGGTTAAATATAAAACCCCATAACTCCCCCCACATGTTCATACTCAAGGTATATACGTTCCAAGGACTAGGCAAAAAATGGTAATGAGCACCGGTTCCAAAACCCCCATTTAGCACCGGTTTTGAACCGGTCCAAATTTGAGGGATGCCAAAAAACCAGAAGATTTCGCACCGGTTTAAAACCGATGGCAATTCTTAGATTTCGCACCAGTTCTTGCTGTGAACCGGTGCGAAAAAGTGGCCCAAAAAAATAATAAAAAAAAACTTTTAGCACCGGCTCTGTTTCAAAACCGGTGCCAAAAATGCCCCAAAAAAATAATTTTTTTTTTCTTTTGCATTTTTTTCACTTAAATTGATATAGAAACACTAACATATATATAAAGTTACATATTTTCATTAAAAAAGGTTGTAATATTACAATTAACCATCACTCCAACATCTTTATGTTGTAACCTTGCTGGTTCTGTTGGTGGCTGCTGTTGTTGGTCCTTTTTGTTGTGCCGGCTGTTCTCGTGAAACTAAGTGTGCATCTTCTTATCATTTTCTTTCTGATTCTCCTTAGTTCTATCTTGATGCTCTAATTCCTATAGAGCCAAAAAAAAAAGGATCACACAGAAATAACAAACTACTAGAATCCTTTCTCTTAACATCCAAAGAAAAATTCAAGTAGGAATCCTTAATCAATTAATCTTAGACTGTAATATGACCTAAAAAACAACCACAACAGAAGAGAGTAATGTTGTATAAGAAAAACACAGCCATCTCAGGCACATTCTTTACCATTTTTTAATGCCTTATCTCCAGATCCTTCAACAAGTTCAGCCACATAGCCCACATTGGAATGTAGTTTCTTGACAAATGATCCCGGAATTGTTTAAAGACTGCATGTTTCCAATAAAACTAACTGATTCTGTTATGGGAAGAAGCCACGAAAGCAGACTTTCAGATAAACTTTGACCAAACACGTGTGGAAAAAAATTAAGAAGTCAAATTAATTCAATATTATTTTAAACAAAAAACCATCAAACATGTAGTAGCAGAGAAATTTGAATGAATTTAATCTCATTGCATATGTACAAGGGTAAAAAGAAAACAAAAATAAGCATCCAAGGTTGTATATCCTGAGCCTTCAAACTGGTAAATTAGCACCATGACTTGAATTGGGTAGAATTGGTGTATGTGTGTGTGTGTGTGTGTGACTGGACATTAGATGCACTTCAAGTTCTTACAGAACCATAATACATATACTACAATCAAAAGAACAAAAGTTGTACAAACCAGAAAATTCTTCTTGCATGACAATTACTCAATAAGAAAAATAGAATTTAAAATTGTATTAATGTAACACCCCAATAATTCTCATTTAAAAACCTATAAATACCTTTAACAATTTGCAAGAGAATTACTGACGTACTACCGCCACGTGTTCAAACGTTAAGGCTAGTTCAGAATTTAGCAGTGGAAAAACTAACTCAGTTATAAATGAGTTTCAAAACCAAAAATCAAACCAAATTTAGTCTTACAAGTTGGAACCATAAGGCCTTATTCAAAACCCAATAAAAGTAGTAAATAAATCAAACCAGAGTTTAATTAAATCCAAACTTGTGAAACGAAATATACTGTGGAAACATCTAACACTCCACTCAAAATCCCACCACCAGCTTGATGCAAGTTCTGATTGTGTAAAAACCTATGATTAGTCTGCTCCCCAATATTACAAGTGTAAAAATTGGGTCATTACAGGGTCATTGAAAAGGCGAAGGCCATGACCAAGAAAAAGACATACAAAAGCACGCAATCAACAACACTGAGTACATACAAGCTACGAAATATAACAAAGAATCCCTAGCATGTTACTAAAAATTAATCAGCACACACAATTTAATTATTGACTAGAACACACACTTCAACAGTTAACATTACTAAGACTTCATTAATTACCAACAATAATTCATTTCATTACATTCATTGATTGTATTAAGCAATAGACCAGGTTGTCCCCTTATGCTCCATTTCGGAACATTAATAAAAGAAAACCCTATGCCTCCTTTCGGAAACATTAATAAACATCCAATGGCAGACGGGCGCGACTCCGTGGCCATAGCTAGTATGAGATCTCATCTAACTCCTTATAATTTAAAGAAAACATTTGTAAACAAGAGACTCGTAGATCAGACGACCTCTAGAAAGTACACGGCTAATACCCCGTGTACCTCAACCCCTGTTTGTCATTACTCTAGATGTGCAATCCAGAGTTTTATTGCTCATCCTTCTTGCACTTTACATGATTTACCAGTTTAAACTTGGTGATGACTCAATGCAAAACAATACAACCAATCATACATCAATCATTATAACAATTCAAATTTCCAATTCAATTCTTGATTTATTAGTGACAAACAATATTTAGTATTGAATCCTTTAACTACCTCAGTGTATAAACACCTTAAGTGCATAGGGCACCTCAATCCTCAACCTCGTCTTATAAGACTTTAAATCTCCCTTTACTCATTCCATTTCATTAACCATGAACGAGTACTACAATAATTCATTCCACATATTCACGTACCTTTGCCTCTAAGCTCATCTTGCAAGTTAATGCATAAATAATACTTACAAGAAAAATCAATACGCATTTCTCATACATGAATCAAACCAATCATCACATTAGTCATCAATCAAACTCACTACCAAACAATTTCATCCAATCTACAAGTTCCTAACATGATTCTAAGTCTTCCAAGTCCTTAAACATGCTCCTAGAGTCAAGGTTTTCGTATCCTTATACGTACCTTGAGTAAACGAGTTGGTTGGCCACTTTAGAAACTAAAAATCACCTTCTACAAAGTCCTCTCCTAAACCAAACAATAATAATTCAATCAATACCCAAGCAATATAATTTACAGCAATTCTAACTTACTTTAAACACTACTAGAAATAGGCTTATTTCCGAGGGAAAGCTTCCGACGGACTTTAATTCCCTCGGAAAATTCAAAAATTCCGAGGGAAATTGACTTCGTAGGAAAAATTCATCGGAACTGTTCCCTTCTGACGGAATATTCCGTCGAAATAGTTGCGACGGATTTGATTTCCCTTGGAATATTGATGTTTCGATGGAATATTCCTCGGAGCAGCTTCCGACGGAAATATTTCCCTCGGAAATCACAGGTTCCGACGGAAAATTCCGTTGGAACCTGTGGTTTCCGAGGGAAATAGTTCCGTCGGAAGCTGCGATTAATTAAAAAAAAAGAAGTAACGTTCTGCAGTCTGCACATAAGCGAAAATAAAAAAAAAAACGGAAGAAGAGAGAGAAGACGACAGGAAGAGGAAGAAGAAGAGAGAGAAAGAGGAAGAGGGAGAAGGAGGAAGAGGGAGAAAGAGGAAGAGGGAGAAAGAGGAAGAGAGAGAAAGGGAGGAGGAAGAGAAAGAGAAAGGAAGAAGGAGAACGAGGAAGAGTGAGAAAGGCCTCCACCCAGCCGCCGCCACAGGGCCCCCTACGCTGCCGCCCCGCCCCGCCGCCGGTAAGGGTTTGTTTATATTGTTTTTAATTTTTTTTTCCTTCAAACCCTAACCACCACCTTTGAACTAGGGTGTACGGGAGTGTTACCTAGTGGTGAAGTTGCCGACGAGTCAACCACGACCAGCCACCGCCGCCGCCGCCGCCACCAGCAGGTTGTTTGCTTTTTTCTTTGCTTTTCTGTTTTTTTTTTTTTGTTTTTTTAAGTTAATTATTCAAGCTTAAATCATAAATGTAGTTCATGCTTTTGTTTGGTGTTAATTATTTTTGTTAAATTTGAATATTTGTAGGTTTTGTGTGTTGAATTGTTTTTTTGGCAATTACAAACTCATATCTACAGGTTAGACATTATTCTAAAGCTAAATTTATAAATTTAGTACATACTTGGCATGTTAAATCCTAATGGTATGTAGATATGCAGTAGGTTATTATTGTTTTTAGTTATTGTATTTACAATTTGTTATATTTATATTTCAGTTTGTTGAAATTTTTGAAATGAATATGTTTGTGTTATAATATGTTAGATTAGTGTAGTTAATTTAAGTATAGTTTTTAATTACTTTATTATAACCTGTTACTTTAGTTTGGTATAGTTTAGGGTAATATGTTAGTTTAGTGTAGTTGTATTATAATAGGTTAGTTTAGTTTGTTTTAGTTAAATATAATAATGTATGTTGGTTTAGTTTAGTTTAGCTTAATATGATGTATGTTAGCTTACTAGAGGTGGCATTAAAGTGCCAGTTAGACGGTCAACGTACGTCTCTCAAACATGATACTAAGACCACAGGCGGAGAGGAAACCCTCATCTTTGAGCCAATCCGGATGGGGTACCCAGTTCTTGGGTACAATTATCTAAGTGTCGTCTTCCATAGGCATGGTGGTCGTCTTGAAAAATTCCAGCTTTATTATATGTGCCCAAGCCTCTTCAGGGATACGAGGAAGGGCACACTTTTTTCCCAGGAGAGCCAATTCCTAATTCTATAGTCGGAGGAGACGGTTTTGACGTCTGGATGGGGAGGAAACCAAGTAGAACTTGTTTTTCCAGTTACTCCACTTAGACGGCTTATCCAACGTCATCATGTACTCCGAGTGCATGGTTAAAGTGTACCACGCCTTCCAACCGCCTGGGGCACGGCTTAGGTAGTGCATATGTGCAAACGCCTCCCAGCTGGGCGTTATGTTCTGCATCTCGAAGGCGGCGATATAGCAAAGGATGTTCATCCAAGAATTGGGTGTGAGTTGCCATACGACAAGCTCATAGCCCCTTAAGATGGCTTTGATTGCATCATGAAGGGGGAACCGGAGGCCGGCTTTGAATGCCGCCTCATAACAGCCGAAATAATTGTCTGCATGTTCGATATCGTCATCCCAGACGACTGTCGCCTCTGCAGGCGGCACAATTATTTCCCACCTATCCCCCATTAGGCATTTCTCTAGAAAGGCGGGGAAGTTTGCTTCTAGGGTAACTATATCTCTAGCGGACATATGCGCGCCTCAATTGGGTTGGTTATAGACGGCCACTTGTACGCCTCATCCTCCTCACTTACGACATCCGCTTGCAGTGAGGTCGACTCCTCTGAGTCGGATCGTTGGACGGCCTCAGTGCCGTGTCCTTGATCAGAGTCCTCCAAAATGTCGTCGCTCAGAGTGCTGGGTAAACCCGGAGGATAGTCATATTCTCTGTCAGCCGGCGCCTCAGCTGAGCCGTCTGATTTATAATCTGGGTCAAATGTCGTCCTCTTTGTCTGGGCCATATTGTCCTGCACATGCACAGAGACGGTCGGATTCGAGGAAGAGCAAGGGTGGTCCAAACACCACCAGGTGGCACCCCTAGTCCTAGACTCAGCCGTACAAGGAGACCGGCTGACTACTATCCTAGACTGTGCCATGTGTGTTGTGGGTGAATCCATTATTCAATGCAATATATACAGCTGGTAAAAAGCTTGAAAGAGTTGCAAAGGGGAGAGACGGTACCTCTAGGATATTTCTGAAAGTAGTCAAGCGTTGACCGGCTGTAACCAGTTGGAAACCAGGAGAATTGTCTAGAAAGTACCCAGGCGATTCAGATGTTCTCCTGTTTGTGATATGCACAGATGGTAGACCAGCTGTGTCAAACGGAAGTAACAGGTGGAAATTTGGTGAAGGCAAATGCAGACGGAATAAGAGTCTCCCTCTCTAAAAATCTTCTCTTTCTCTCTCTAAGACTTTTTCAGAAGGGTCCAAAATGAGAGGGGGGACCTTACTTATAGAGGGGTTAAACATATTGGGATCCCTATAACTTCCCCAGAAGGTGAATAGTTAAAAACCGTTCACCCAGTCCAGAGTGACATGTGTCACAGGCGCCACGTGGCACGCTACGTCACCCCTCTGAGGGCAAATGATTTAGGTAAAAATACCCATGTCACGTGGCCCAATAAGAATGGGACATGTGTCACCCCATGACATGTCCAATAAAGGCCACTCACCAGTTAACACGTGGCACTCCAAGTCAGCAAGGGAAAACGAAAGCCTTCAGGGCCCAATTCCCGAGACAGCCCGTTCGTCCTAGGTTTCCGTAACCTAGGCAGGGGCACGAATTCCCATGACCCTATAAATAAGGAGATTTTCTTATCTTGGGGGAACACACAATGACAAGAGAGATAGATTTTACTCAGAAATTGAGGCAGTCAATGATTGCTAGATAATTAATTCTCACCTCAGAGAATATTCCCGATCTCGGAATCCGAGAAGATCCCACTTTACTTTCCGCACTTTTTATTCTCCATACAGGTTCTAACTTGATTGTCGGAGGCGGTACTCCATCCAACCGGAGTCTCCGTTGTTTTGCAAGTACAGGCACCCGGAGTCCAGTCTTGGTGTTGTAACTACGTGTATTACATCCGTTTTATATTATTTGCAACAATTTGACATAAAGTGTGAGTAGAAAATGTCTAATCGTTGCAAATAATATGAAATAGAGGTAATATATTATTGTAAGTTTTTGGTCAAAGTTGTAAAAAATTGATTATAAAAAGTCAAAAATAAGAGCATAGAATTGAAACGAAGGGAGTAAACTATGTTCAATATTTAAAGACAAACTATTTAAAGGAGAATGGTGCAGATATGCAACAAAAGAGGCCAATCCGCCAATGAGTACGCCCATTGATGGGTAGCCTTAATAAGCTATATTTGTTTCCTTGTAAAAAAATAAATATAGAAAAATTGAGGCCAATGCGTACTCATATGAATTTGCATGTAAACAAATCAACAATCACCACCATATCAAAAGCCTTAATCCCATTGGCATTGGGAGACAAGGATACACTTGAAAAGGACCCCAAGACATGAGATTAAAGAAGGCTCAAGATGGATATTAATTAAGACAATTAAATAATATTTAAGAGCTTGATCTTAGATTCGGTATTCTCTCTACAAGTAGTAGATCATCAGGGGTTGTTATCTGTATAGAAAAGAAAAAAAAAAGGATGTATTAGCCGAATTTTCATGAATACACTACTATAAGTCCAGCAATCGTTATTTACTAACTTCGTTATTATGTTCTACTCACGTACTATAAATAATTAAATATACAATTTAAGAAATTGTTGAAGAATATTTGTGAGTGTAATATAAAGTAAGAAAGAGAATGTAAAAAAGTGGGTTTATCCGTACCCATTAAAAAGAGGAACTTGTCAAACATGAAAGGAATAGTTACTTGAGTGTGTAGTCAATGAATATCACTGTTCATAAGATTTGCAAAACTGGGAGGGTTTGGGTTTCTAGCATTTGGGTGCAATTTCATTTTATTTGGTAAGTCACCAAATTACTTTTCTCCCTATTTTCCTCTATTTCATACATTTCCCCTTATTTCTCTGTCATCTCTTTTCCTGATTTCAAGCTCTTCCATTTATTCCGTTTTTCATAAAATAAAAAAAATAAAAAAGAAAAAATAATAATAAAAAATCTTCTTTTCTCTGTCTCTCTCCTCCTGCTCTCTATTTCTCCATCTCCACCATTGAAGTTGTGCTCTGATTTTACCATCTCCATCTCCATTCCCATGCAATTTCGTTTTTTCAGATTCCTCAATTTTTTTTTTTCCGTTCTCCAGATTCTCATTTTTTCCGTTAATGTTCTAATAAAAGTGTTAAGACATTATCTTGAGTTATGTTGCTTCTATGGCGGCTGAGGATTTCGGTCGGCGTTGAAGCAAACTCTGAGCTTTCCTCCATTGAATCAGCTTGTTCTCCAAGGTAGCGTTTGTTTAATTTCATATAGTGTTTAATTTAATTTCCTGCATAATCAATTTAGGGTTCTTAGATGGATTATTGAACTTTCTAATTACTGAAGTTATGAAATATTAAAACGAATAATTTAGCTGCTAGCTTTAGCTATGTGCAAATTACGTTGATTAAGTGAAGAATTTTATGTGAATTTCTTAGACTGATCAAATAATTGAGTGAAGTTATGAATTTTTTCCAGAAAACACTCCATTATTACCTTAACTCTACTGTGAAATTGCAGTCCAAACTTAGAAATCCTTGGCTTCGATTTTCTAAATTACAAAGTAATTACATGTATGAGTATAAATTAGGCCTTTGACTGTGCCATTCCAGTAATCAAACTTTGAATATTAGTTTTTAAAATTTTTGTTTTGCCTCAATTAATATTCAATCGAACAAAGTTTGGGGTTTTGAAAAAGCTAGAATTTTTTATATTGGGTAAGGATTGATCAAAAATATTGAATTTATCTAAAATATATGTCACTTTACCCTTGCTTTCGTGGAGGAGTATTTGTTACTTGACTTTACATTCTTTGGTGGTTGATTTTTATTGAAAAACTTCAACAACTTGGGTTTGATTTCTTTTAGTTTTCCACATTTTTCATCCATTGTTCAAGCTCATGTGCTTAGGTTATTTAACTTATTAGATAAGAATGATAGTGGGTTTTGGAGGGTTTAAGGAAAAGAAAAAGATAAGATTATGTAATTAGGAAGTGAAATAATGGAGCTATGGGCTCGATTTTAAGTCAAGAAATAGCGAGAAATATGACAGACTCTCTAATTAATTTTGGGGTCCTTTTGTTTCAATTTTAAGTCAAGAAGTATGACAGACTCTCTAATTAATTTTGGATTAATCAATTTTGGGGTTCTCGGCATTATCAATATAGTGCATCAACTTGATTATATTAAGTTCTTGCCAATTATGTTATGTAGAATTGCAATTCTCTGTCTTGTCTACATTAACAGATTTATGTTGGGTACTTCCTTTCTGATAGTGCCATGATATTTTGGTTTTATCATGTTTTACGTGGAATGGAGTATGTAAGTAATACCTTAACTCTATTTTTCACCTTAGATTGATGTAGTAGTGAAATTTTAAGGTAGCTTATTAGTTACATCTGCTAAGCTCAAAAAAAGCAACAAATGCTTAAATATGGGAGACCAATTGGTTAATATCATGTTCTTTCTAAAATTAGAAAAGACGTATGTTTTAACCATGTAGTTCATCTTTACAAGTGCTTCATCATCTTTTGTCAATGGGAGCACTAGCATATGCTATGTTGAATAGAACAGGGAAATTCTAAACCTATATGGCTCTTCTTTATAAGATAGCAACACCAGGGATCAACATGAGATGGTAAGTCTTTTATCATTTTGTAATCATGTTAATCAGTTTAAATTTGTTTTGCCGTTCCCTCGTATATGATGTGAAGCTTTTGTTGCTGAAGGTATCTTATACCATTGTTTACAAAAGCTTTTGTTGTTTTTGTATATGGAGTTGGTATATTCTTGACTTGGCTGGTGAGTACAATTAGATTTAAGGATAGGCAAAACAAATAGTGAACTTGTGTTTGCCAATGATAAGTGTTTTGTTATTTAGACAGGATTTTGAAAATGCATAATCATAGTGTTATAAACTATATTAAAAAAAGAAAAAAAGGATAAAGATGGTTAGGAAATGTGAATAATCCAGTTGTCAGCTTTTGTAAACAATGGTATCTTATTTGGTGCTTCAATCTTATATTGCATATTAGTTACATTGGGCTTAATGTTCTTTTGCTAGCTGTGCATTTTGTTTGTATATCAGGTAAAGCATTATTATGCAGGTTCTGCAATGGGGTATGAATTATGTGGGTAACGTTGGAAGGTAATTTCTACCATCTTTATGTTGTGTGTTTGATATATTTGAATGTGAAGATTGTGAACGGTTTTCTTAGTATGAGTTTGATTATTATGATCTTTAACTATACTTGTATTTAGTTAAGTTGGATTGTCTTTAGGAATTGCAATATGTGTCGAGTATCGAGTTTTATATAGTTGACTCTAAATTTAGTAATAATATTTTATATGGTTGACATGCAATTAGACATGGTATAGCCATTTGCTCTTCATCAACAGCAAATTGCTATGCTGGCACAGCAACCAAGTCTTCTTATGGCTGCAGCTGCTCAAGCAGCTAATGGAGCTTCAAAACCAAACGTCATTATGCAACAACCTGGATTAAATGGCACCAATTTTCCGACTCAAAACTGGCTAGGTCTTGGGTATTTCCTAGGTTAACTATGCCATTAACTGGTCAGAATGAACTACCAAAATCAGCTCAGGTGAAGTTTTATTGTAACACCTGTATTTTTTAGGTGTCATTTTTTTATTCGGTAGAGAAGAGTTAATAATGCATTTTATTTTTGTTAAGCAGGTTGGGAACTCTCTGTCAATGTACCCAACAGGAAATCCTTCCTATTTCCCAGAAATGGTGAATGTATGAGGCTTACTATTATTCTAATGCGGCACAATCAGGTCATCAATATGTATTATCCTTTTTCATTTTGCCTCTATCTATTTTATTTCTCAATCTCCCTTTTTTAAATCTATTTGTGTTCTTTGAGCTGTCCGAAAAATTCTTCTTCTCTTATTTGAAACAAGTTTTGCATGCCCCCGGTTTACAATAAAATATTGTAAATCCGGCGGCACGGCACGCGTGCGAGCATTTATTTATTTTTTATTTTATTTTTTAATTCCGAAAAAAAAATACGCGAAAATTGACCTCAAATTTAGAAATCACAAAACAAATGGAGGAGAGAGAAAGTGAAAACATGCAGAGAGATCACGAAAACGAGTACCTTAGGGCTTCGATCATCAATGGAGAATTCATCAACAAATTTCAATACCTCAAATTGCAGTAATCTGATCCACGAATTTCTACAAAAACAGAGGCAAATTGAAACTCCATTGTTAGGTGATTTCGATCTAAATCGCACAATCATAGAAATGAAACAAAGAATTTTGTAGATGAAACTGCTCGAATTGATGATGATAACAGCATGTTTGGGGAAAAACAAATTCAAGCGCCATTAATGAACAAGGAGAGAGAAAGTGCAAGCATGAATCAAGTTGTTCCTCAAACATTAAAATGTGGCACCGCACAATCATCCAATTCAACTAAAGGTAACCTTATACTTAATAGAAAATTTTGTAGAAGATGAAATAGAGAATTTTGTAGATGAAATTGCTCGAATTTTGTAGAAGGTAACCCTATACTTGTTGATAATAGTGAATGTCATGTCACAACTAGAAATAGAACGTTTTTTTACGGAAAAATTTCGTAGGAATAACTTGAAATTCCGTCGAAAATCGACTTTTCAACGGAATTCCGTCAGAATGGTCTGTCGCAAAAGCTTTTGTAGGAAATTTGCACTTTTCCAACGGAATTTCCGTCGGAAAGGCGATTTCTGACGGAATTTCCGACGGAAATACATCTGTCGGACCTTGGTTTGACTTAAATTGGAAATCCGTCGCAACATTCCGACGGACTGAATTCCGTCGTTAGGTACCCTCTTTCGACGGAATATTCCGTCGTAAAGCATTACTTTTCCGACAGAATTTTTCGTTGGAATTTCTGAATGTTGAGAAGGAATTTTATTCCGTCTGAAACTTACGACGCATTTTTCCGTCGCAAATCTCCCGAGGATTTTATTTCCCTCGGAAAATACACTCTTTACGATGGAATCTTCCATCTGAAAATCCGTCGCAATATTCCGACGGATATTTTTTCCGTCGCAACAAAAGGAGTTTCCGACGGAGTTTCCATCAAAAATTCCGTCAGAATTTCACCTGCTAATTTAATAAATTTATTGTTTTTTTTTGAAATTCCCCCAATCGAAACGTATACCTCCTGAACCTAATTCATGATAAAATTAAATTAATGATTTAATTACAAAAATATTTATATATATATATATATATATATATATATATAATAAAATATACATTGTATGCAAATTAAGTACATGTACATACTACATAAACTAAAGCTAAGCTACAGCCGGAGTACCTTGCCCTAATCCGCCATTACCCGGGTCATCCCTGGGGTCTTGAGGCTGAGGTTGAATGGTGGAACATGTGTTGCTGGGGAGACTACTCATAAACTTCGCCCACTTCTCCTGGTTTCTCCTCTCCATTGCTTCAACTCGGGCTTCAAGTCGGGCTTCTATCTCGACTTCCAATTCACTTCGGATTTCACTACAAAGAGCCTGCACCCTATGCTCCATCTGATCCTGCATCTGAGAAACAATGGAAGGCATGTACTGCTGTGAAGACGTGGAAACTCGACCCATCTGGCTACCATAGTACAGCTCTGCACTTCGGCCAAGTCCCTTCACATGACCCTTCTTGTTGCGACCACCCACGGACTCCCAGTACAACTCATTCGGACTCTTCCGAATCCCTTGAGTGCTTGCCTTTTCAACCTTCTTCTGGTAGGCCTCCTACAAGAGATACATATGAAAAGGAGCAACTTACTAAGTTTAAAGAAGTATATTCATCAAAATAGAACCAAATATGGCCGAGGTGACTTACACTTTGCCCATTTTCAATGTTTCTTAGCAAATGAGTTCTTTATTTCTTATAACATGTCAATAATAGGTAGTTTTAGGTGTATAGGTCTTGAAATGACAAAAAAAAAAACCAAAGTAACTAAGTTATGGGAACCATTTTCATCAAAATAGAACCAAATATGGCGTAGGTGACTTCTACTTTTCCCATTTTCAATGTTTCTTAGCAAATGATCTCTTTCTTTCTCATAACATGTCAATGATAGGTTGTTTTAGGTGTATAGGGCTTGAAATGACAAAAAAAAAAAAAAAAAAAAAAAAAAAAAAAAACCAAAGTAACTAAGTTTTGGGAACCATTTTCATAAAAGTAAAACCAAATATAGCCTAGGTGACTTATACTTTGCCCATTTTCAGTGTTTCTTAGCAAATAAACTATTTCTTTCTCATAACATGTCAATGATAGGTAGTTTTAGGTGTATAGGGCTTGAAATGACAAAAAAAAACCAAAGTAACTAAGTTTTGGGAACCATTTTCATCAAAATGGAACCAAATATGGCCTAGGTGACTTATACTTTGCCCATTTTCAATGTTTCTTAATGAACTCTTTCTTTCTCATAACATGTCAATGATAGGTAGTTTTAGGTGTATAGGGCTTGAAATGACAAAAAAAAAAAAAAAAAATCAAAGTAACTAAGTTTTGGGAACCATTTTCATCAAAATAGAACCAAATATGGCCTAGGTGACTTCTACTTTGCCCATTTTCAATGTTTCTTAGCAAATGAACTCTTTCTTTGTCATAAAATGTCAATGATAGGTAGTTTTAGGTGTATAGGGCTTGAAATGACAAAAAAAAAACCAAATTAACTAAGTTTTAGGAACCATTTTCATCAAAATAGAACCAAATATGGCCTAGGTGACTTATAATTTTCCCATTTCAATGTTTCTTAGCAAATGATCTCTTTCTTTCTCATAACATGTCAATGATAGGTAGTTTTTGGTGTATAGGGCTTGAAATGACCAAAAAAAAAAACCCAAAGTAACTAAGTTTTGGGAACCATTTTCATCAAAGTAGAACCAAATATGGCCTAGGTGACTTACACTTTGCCCATTTTCAATGTTTCTTAGAAAATAAGTTTGGAATCTAAGTTATATTGAAGTTGTTACCGCAATTTGCTTCGCTTTGGTGTTGACTGACACTGATCCTTTCCAGGCACATCCTTGCAGTGCGTCTTTAGAAAAAGCTCAGGAGCTGTTGGTAGCTGGCCTTTATTCTTCGCCGCCTTTGATTATACATGCAGAAAATCATCGTTATAGATGTCACACCTTCATTACATTGTAATACACAAATGCATTCTATTTTACTTGCCTATTAAACAAACTTACCATCCTTTTTGCGTGTTTGACAACTGACATAGAACCCTGATAGTGGGTTGGTTCGGCCACATTTTCCATCGAACCGCCCCTTCTGTTCTTCCTATTCTGGGCCAACCTCTTCTTATACGTCGGATCTATGGCAACAATGTCCATCATCTTCTTGTGGATTTCCTCATTGAGCCAGCCTTACTTGGCGCCATTCATCTTGTGTGTGACTGTATAGAACATGTCACGTAGGCGAGTTGCAACCCTCCTTTGAAAAGTGACCTTCACATGCTCATTCAATTGAGGTGCACATGTGAATTATTTCTGGGAATGATAAACTTTAAAAGTTCTAAACTCAACTCAATCAATACAATTAATAAAACATGTATTAACTAAGTTAAAAATGTTGGGTTTTGTAGCGTCCAACGCTACGCGGAAGAGAAACCCGCCCAAGACCCGCTCAAAGCAACTAAATATTTAATCACATAATTAACAACATAAGAGAGAGAATGAGAAAAGACATTCTTACCCTTGACGCGTGCTTCACTCGATTCACGAGCTCTTAATTCAAAGCTCGAGCCTCGCAAGTGCGACGGCCTCCTACGGCTCGCACCCTCGACCCAACCCGAATGGTCTTAATCCCGAAGGTTAGTCGGGACTTGATCAATAAAAACTAGAGTATTACGAACTTAAGATTTTCTCACTTTACAAAGGAGATGCCTTTTTAGTTCAACTCAAGTGATTTTTCCCAAACCCAAAACTTGGGTATTTATAAGAATGGAGACTTGTTCTCCATTCTCCCATCAATGTGGGAGATTTGCATTTTCCTTTATTTTATTTTAATCAAAAACAAAATAAAAATGCAAGGCAATCAACATGCTCCAAGTGTCACAACGAGGGAAAGAGTAGGTAAGGACCACCCAAGGGGGGGACCAAATCACTTTGCTCCCCAAGCCAAGCACCAACCATCTTTGGTCTCCTCCTTGACCGGCTGACCAAGCCACATGGTAGGCTGGCAGCCTGCCTTGGCTGCCAAGGCTGCTAGCTGGCGCCTAGCACCAGCGCTGCTGGCCAGCCTGCCCACGCACATGCGCAGCCACACGGCCAGCCAACGCATACATCGCTGCGATGTGATGCTCGCTAGCAAGCACGCTAAGCTACACACACGCATACACAGCACGCTGTTGCGATGCGTGTGCTGTGCGAGTGCTTTGCTTGGTGCGAGGCTACGAAGAGCTGGGCGCTAGGCCCTAGCATGCTAGCAAGCACGCAAGGCACCATGCCTGCGATGCTTGCGATAGCAATGCCCAGCAAGCACTTGCGTGCTGCTGGCCTTGCGATGCTTGCGGGCTAGCGAGGGGCTTGGTGCTTTACCTAGCATGATGCGATGGCTGGGGCTACCATGCTAGCACGCACAGCCATGCACGCACAGCCACATGCATGCACGCATCTTGCGATGCTTGGGCCATGCGATGTGCGTGTGCTAGGTAATGCTAGGCACCCATGACACGCATGGGTTGGTGACCTCGCCTAGCCTAGCACTCGCATGGCTAGGCCAATGCGAGGCTACGGCTTGGCTCGGCTTGGCTCGAACTTGTCGCTTGCTTG